TCTACATCTGCTTTTATTATATTACGCCATTCCTGTATCTGTATAACATCATAATATACACTTGCATTCATTTGATCTCTTTGTTTACCAAGCATAACAGGTGTAAGAAATTTTTTCAAAGTTTCATCAACTTGTTTAAAAAACCGACTATTTAGCATTGGTAATTCAACAGAAGAAAGGGCATTGTGTTGAATTTCAAAATTCATTAAATGTTCTTCTTGATCAATATAATTTTTTAAGATTCATTAATAAATCATATAATGATGTCGCACGATCAACCTTTTGATGAATATGCTTATTAATTGATTCTATTCTTTGTGTACTTTGTACACCTCCTGTAAATTGCTTACATATCCAAGTAATTGCCCATGATTCCTTATTGCTATATAAGGTTTCAATTAAATAATTTGCAGCTGTTAGATAATCAGTCACCAATTTTACCCAACGTCTTTCAAAAAGTTCTTCACATAAGTTATTGCGACATGTATAAAATTCTGATTGAAAAGTTTCAAATTGAGAACCTAATTTACCCTTTAACTTTTCTGAAGATTCATATCTATATGAAAAATGCATAGCATGTGCTTAATAGTAGAATACACTTGCTTAATTGCACTTATCATAGCAGGATCACTATCAGTAAATATAATCATAGGTATAATACCAGTTTTCTCAAGTAATATTTCATATATCCAATTAAATGTATCTAATGTTTCATCTTCAATAATGCTGCTAGCTACGATTCTTGTTTTATAATTGTTATCAATTACTATGATAATACAAAGCATCATTTGAAAACGATTGGTGTTTGCAGTAGTATCCATTATTACAATGTCATGAAATGCTTCATAAAGACCTCTTTGTTCTGGTGACATCCAGAGTAAGGAATTTAGTTTCCTTGATATAGTTTCTAGTCGTGGTTTAACAATCCATAATGGGTTCTCATCCTTCCATTTTAGTAACGTTTGTAACATTAATGAAGCATCTGAATCACCCGGGTTATTCTTTTGACGAAAATTATAAACGGCATTATACAAATCACGTTTGTATAAAGGATAATTAGGATAGTCATGTCGAAGTAGTGGATAGATCGATCCAGAGTCCATTCTGCCTTAGATTACATATTTTTCAATGTCAAGTAATATTTCAGGTGTTAGCTTGCGAAATCGTGTATTAATCTCACCAATCATAGATGTAAGCGGATGGTTATGAACATCATTAACAAAATTAACTTTAACTACTAAGGTTGTTTTAGGACATGTAACATTTAGTTTCTAGGAACATTCAGTCCGTTGAGATATAGCGTTACGACGTTTAGCAGGATCGGATGTCACTTGTGGATTATGTGTACCAGATTTGATACATACATATGTTGCCCTTCTAACTATACCATTATTAGATTCACTAGTCCGAATTTTGTATCCAAATCCTTTTAGTCTAGCAAATCGATCAATCCATACTTTAAAGGATTCCCAATTTGGAAACGAAAGACCAGACGTTAATTCTAATGAAAATTCATTCCCCAAATTTTCTTCCTCTTGTTCGTCATCATAACCATCATAATCAACATTGCCACCACTGCTACTACTACTGCCGATGGTTCTTTGACTCAAACTATTATCATTAAGTTCAGGTGATCTTGCAATTTGATAATTTATTAGACGATCGGAAGTATTATTACAATTATCCAAAGATGCAACACTATCATTAAAGTATCCATAACTACCACCACCATTATCTATAAAAGCACCATCGCTACCAATGAAATCGTAGCAAATATAACTGTTTTCAATATTATGATTAGCTGATCTTATAATGTGACAGTTGGTCAAACGATCGGAAATACCTATAGAGTTAATGTTTTCACCAAAGGTATCATGACTACCACTAACTCTAGTCAGGGAAGTAACATCACAATCAACAGAAACAACATTATTACCAATAGAATCATAATAAATGTTTTCATCATTTTCATCTTTAGGATCGGTTGATCTTCTAACGAGAAGATTAGCTAAATGTCCGGAGGTACCACTACCACTACCCAAGTAATCAATATCACTACAAGAGGACTCATAACTACCTCTACTTTTAGCAACAAAGGCAATATTATCCCCAGTAGAATCATAACAACCACCACCGACTTTTTCATCATTGAGATCAACTGATTCTCTAATATGATGCTCGTTCAAACAATCAGAATATGAATCATCCAAGCGGGTTGATCCTGTAAAATCACTTGTTAAATCCTCCTAGCAACAATGAACGATAACAAATAAAAAAAAGTGGTTTGGTTAGATGTCGAAATTATAAGTTGAGATGCAAACAAAAACTTACCGCTTCCGATAATAGGTACGTATGATATATCAACATGCTTGTATAAGATTCAGAAGATATTAAATCGCTGATACAAAATCGTTCGGATAAATGGGAGAAAGGTTATGGTAAAGGAGTAAAGACAAATAAACAAACAATCGCAGTAACATCAACAATAGAACAATAGTTATTGATGTAAATCACGTGACAATCAACAAAGTTTATTATATACAATTGCGACGATCAAACATGACGTTTCTAAATATATCACGTGATAACTAATAATCACGTGATTAGTGTTCGATACACATAGTGTAAACTTAGAAATTTTCTTTTTTTTATTATATTATTATTAAATGACTTAAGTCACGGGTCATTTAGTTTTTAAAATGACCCAATGACCAGTGACCAGTCATCGAAGTCATTTGGGTCATCTCAGGTCACTTACCATCACTGCGATCAACCGGCATAACCTAATAGTTTTCATTGCGTATCATCTTACTGAATATATACTAACGAACTTTTGAATTATCATCCATCATGTCATTCGAGCTGGATTTAATGAACAATAAAGTCTTGCCCATTTTGGGTTTTATTTTTTACGCATATTCTTTATTGATCATAATAATTTTTATATTACATGGTTTAAATCCAAAGTGCAAAGAACCTTCTCACATATACCAAGTACTATAATGTTCTGCAAAAAAATCCTATAATATTTTATAAAGATGCAGTTATCAACCTGATCTTTCTTATATCACGTTTTGCTAAATTAACAAACTCAGCATCCGCCCACTCTTTTGCTTGACGTACAAGTTCCACATCAGGTATCATCTCAACCAGTGTCTTCCATAATGTTAAGCTTCTTTTCCGGATGGTAGAGAAAGTTCGCAAGGCCTTCCATATCATTAATTCCTAAGACATACATGTCTCGTGTTAATTCGCACCATTCAAACAGAATACCACGGTTATCTAAAAACAAAACAGTCATTCCATGATTATCTACAAGCAATGGATTAATATTGGTGATACCATATGCATCACTGAAATATTCCTTATTTTCTTGATCAATTAACCATTGATGTTTAAGTTGGAGTTCATGGAACCTACGATCATTCTTGACAGCATCTGACAAGCCTTGCAATTTTCGCACGGCAACATTACTTCTTTTGACTGAGTACGAGACTTGATTGGGAAAACTAGTCTGAACTGGTATAAGGAAGTCCAAGCATTCATCTCCGCACAATTCCCGAATTCCCACTCTTCGATCTTTGAAATCACATCTCCATTTTGTTTCCGAGGAAGAAGGAGTTGATCGTTCTTTTGTCGGAGTAAAGCTATGTTTTTCCTTGTCTTTTAGGGATCTGAAATTGATGCACCAAATGCAACGCTGATAATCTTCTCCTGGTTTGATTTCCAAGAAGCATTGATTGCTGTTGGACGAATTCTGCGACTGCTCCATTATAGTTATTCATTGACGAAGTTGTTCGAGATGCCAAAAAAGAAATTTCACCTGTCACGGATGTGATTACTTTTTCTTTTTCTTGGGATCTTTCTTGGGAGGGGATAGTTGATCGTGAAGAGGTAACAGAGAGCGTCAGAAGAAATTGCTTATAAACTTTCTTTTGCAGGTTACTCGATTATGAATTTCTAGAATTTTCTTTTGTTTTGCCTAAAACGCCGTTAAAAATTCCGAATATAAAAACGGCGGCGAATTTATGACGCACCCTGGTACAATAGTTTATAATCATTACACTATTTTTGTTGTCGTTAAGATATAAAAGAAGTCGATTTCTTAATTATGTCTTTAGCAGAAGAGTTACTTGCTGATCCTGATTTTAATTCTACTCGTGATGAGGAAGATGATGACGATGATCAAAACGAACATAACGACTCTGACGACGCGATTATGCGTGATCTAGAAGATCTAGAAGAAGAAATGGAAGAGAACGATGATTCAGAAGATGATAGGAATGTGAACCTAGATGTCGAAATGAAATCTGTTAAAGATGTGAGGAAAGTGGCTAAATTACTTGGAACTAGACAAATGAGAGAGGTCCTAACGGTTAGTTTATAAAATATTTCCTTAATTTGTTGTTTTTTAATTGGTTTTTGTTAACCGTTTATTTTACTTAGAAAATTGAAAAACTTAAAGATACAAATCGTTCTCAACAAATAATGGGGCCTGTTGAAGAAGATCCGGAATATAAGCTTATAGTCCAGGCTAATAATTTGACAGTAGACATTGATAACGAGATTTTAGTAGTTCATAAGGTATAGATTTTTTTTGCTTTAATTTAATAAAATTTCCTTTGGCTTCTGGACTAATCATTATTTAGTTTATAAGAGATCATTATGCTAAAAAGTTTCCTGAATTGGAATCTTTGGTCCTTAACCCGTTAGATTATACCAGAGCAGTCAAGGCTATAGGGAACGAAATGGTTAGTATTGCTTAGATTTTACCTTGAAGTGCTTCTATTCGATTTAGCGAGAAATTACGTTCTTAATAGCTACCAACCTCACGTTTCGACCTATTATATAATAGGATTTAACCAAAGTCGACTTAAGATCTATCTTACCTTCTGCTACCGTTATGGTTGTTACCGTTACAGGATCTACTACCAATGGGCAAAAATTAACTGATGAAGAGAGTACGATTGTTAGTGACGCGTGTGATATGGCATTGGAATTGGATACTGCCAAAAGAAAGGTTTGTACCTTCATATTAACTAAATAGATTATGACAATTTATTTATACTATGGTTTACAGATTTTAGAATATGTAGAGTCTAGAATGACGCTTATTGCACCTAACCTTTCGGCTATTGTGGGAAGTACAACCGCAGCCAAAATGTTGGGGCAAGCTGGTGGATTGATGGCTCTTTGCAAGATGCCGTCTTGTAATGTTATGGTACGTGTTTTTTATTTCATTTTTAACTTAATATTATTTATTAATTTTGAATTTCTTAATAATTGTACTTATTAGTTAATCGGTGTACAAAAGAAGACAAGTACTGGATTCTCAAGTGCATCAACTCCCAGACATACTGGATACTTGTTTCAATCAGAATTGATTCAAAGGACTCCTCAAGACCTCAGAAGTAAAGCACAAAAGATTGTAGCAGCAAAGTAAGCTTACAGAAAAAGCATTCCCTTTTTTCATATCGAAATTTCTTAATTTTGGATTTATCTTTAGGTGTACTTTGGCCGCCAGAATGGATCGAACGCATGAATCGACTGATGGTATATTTAAATGTTAATTAATCATCATTTATCATTATTATATTAACTCTTTTCAAAATATGAATTTAGGTTCATTTGGAAGATCGTTACGTGAACAAATTGATAAAAAACTTGAAAAGTTACAAGAGCCACCTCCATCTAAAACTGTCAAACCCTTACCTATACCCGATGAAGGTCCAAAAAAGAGAAGAGCTGGCAAGAAGTAGGTTTTAATATTGTGAGTAAAATTGTAAATTATATACAAGTATATTTATTAAAAAAAAAAAAAAATTTTTGTTTACTTTAGAGTACGACGAATGAAAGAGGCTTATGCGGTTACAGAATTGCGAAAAGCTCAAAATAGAATGGCTTTTGGTGTTGCAGAGGATGAAACTGGGTCATTTGATAAGACAAAGGGACTAGGTTTAATTGGGCAAAATTCGGGTAAAATTCGTGCTTCGGTGGCTGATCCTAGAGTTAAAGGTATGCAAATTAATATTTTGCCGTATATCGTATTTTTTTTTTTTAAAAAAAAAAGGTAAAAAATATTTTTTAAATATTACTTTTTAATTAATTGTTCAGCTAAAGCACCTAAGAGGCATCAATTTATGGGATCTTCCGGAGCTACTTCGGGATTATCATCGTCTCTCGCGTTTACTCCCGTACAAGGAATTGAACTAATTAATCCAGAGGAAGCACAAAAGAAAGTAAAGGAAGCTAATGATAGATATTTTGGTGGTGGTTCATTTTTAAAGGTCGGAAAATCAAAACATCAATAACTTGATTAATGTAAAAGAAATGCTAACATGTATTATAGTAATTCTCGAGGTTTTTTTTGAATTAAAATCGCTATTTTTAAATTGATTTGTGAATTTATAATTTCTAATATATGAACCATAAATTTTTATAATTGTCTGGAGCGAAGTCATATCCGTCCATTTTTGGAAAGTTGTATTTATGTCTAACCCAGCTTCCCATCCAAAATTGCACGGATATGCGTAAGACAATATACAGTATGTCTGAAAATTTTTTCGGTCACGTGATCATTGCATTCTCCGTCCGCGCACGTGATCTTAAACCAATGAAATTTCTTATTTTGAAAAGTGTCAGATTCAACCCCCCCATTTCCTAGTGTTATTAAATTATTATAAACGTTTTAATCCTTTTATTCTAAAAGAACAATATTTTATACTATTAATATTCTTTCTTAAGTTTAACAATTAATATTAGAGTATTTCATATAAAAAAATCTGATCAGTATATTAAGCAGTTATAATAATTTAAAGTATTTTAATATAAGGTTTTTGATCATCTTAAAAAATTGATATAATTCTAAATTATAATAGGTATATAAACTTTATAATTAAATATATTTAATAGAGAAATAATTTTTGTTTTATTTATTTAAATACTTTAGCATTATATAAAGTTTTTACTTAAATATTTATATTTACCTATTATTTTTATAGAATAAGATATTATCCCTTCAAACCTTTTGCAGGCAAATTTGCCTACAATTTTATTTAATAATTAAAATTATTTATAATAATTTTAAATAATTTTAAAATAATTTATTTAAAAATTAATATTTTTATAATATATTTTCTAAGTAAAAATTCAAAAAAAAATGTAATTAATTAGTAATATTTTAAAGATAAATATATAATAAATTATTATGAAAAAAATTAAATTTTTAAATTTATGTATCTTGCTATATATTGATCTCAAAAATATGAAAATATAATCATTTAATAGGTCTTAATGAGATAAATCCAACAAACTAAATTTTATTTTCTTGTAATTATTTTTTTTTTTTATTTTTAAAGACGCGGTGATGCAACATTTTATTATATATGAAAAACAATTTCAGTATAAAATACATGAAAATCCCAAGATGAGTACAAAAGTAGAAAATAAAAATTGCTGCCTAATATTTATTACTAGAAAATTAACTCCCACCAGACCAACCAGTTGTCCTGTCTGATTCTGATTATAAAGATTTATTGAATAATCATCAATACTAAACTAAAAAGGGATCGTTAGAACAATTGGTTATTATCTGTCCAAGAAGAGGGACCAATGTCGACTATATTTATAAGAATTATTAATTAGAGTAATATAATCTAGAGTATCTGTATTATTGGCAAATAAGTGTTAGAGAAACTATTAATTGAAAAAGTAACATTAGACGTAGCAAAATTTCTTTTCTTCTGTTACTTTATTATGTATAAGAATCTTTCTTTATCTAAAGTTAACGCACATCTAGTTTTTCATATATTGTTATAGGCTTGAGTAAAAATAAAATTGAAAAAAGAGGAAAGAATAGATGAAGTGGTAGAGGAAGATTTGGTAAATATTGTTAAAGTTGATGATAAAATATTAGAGATAATGCTTTTTATAAGATCAATAAAGGAGAAATTATGTGGATTTGCTCGTAGTGACCATATTGAATGTGAGGGGTTTAAAAGATTATTGATATTGTCTGCAAACACAGATTTGGAAGTATAAATGAATAATTGTAATTTCAGATAAGCTATGGATTTAGAGATCAAAAATCGCATATTTTGTCTGATAATAGGACAAAGTCAAATATAGTTGAAATCTTCATTGTGGCTATTACATCAACAGCATTTTTAGGAAGGTAAATATAACTGAGGTTGAGTAGCTTTCATAAATTGAACTATCAGAAGCTGTTCTAGAAGAAATTTAAGTTTTCTACTATAGTTTCTTGTTTTAATAAATGATGTGACAAATGCTGATCCAGATTGGATGAAGTGAAAGGTTAAAAGCCAATTCACTTGTAAGTGTTGATACTTAGTATTTCATTTGAGGTGATAATAATCAGAAAAGTGTTTGATGTTAAGATAATCTTTTAAAAATGAACGTAAAGGGCAATGTATAGGTATATTATTAAATGTAAATATATAGTTAATGAAAGGAATATAGTTTAGGGATAAAGTTAGGGGGAAAAAAGGAGAGAGGATTTTGCTAAATAGTCAGCCTTGTCATTATATGAATCATTAGAATATGCAGCAATTTTGAAAAGAGAAATAGTGATTTGTCGTTCCTCAATGACTTTAAAAATAATTGACCAATAAATGCAAAAGGAAACTTTAAATATGAGTGAAGGATATTGTTTTGCATTTGATCTAACTATGTAATTATAAGTATGAATAAGAGCTAAACTATCAATATGAACAGAAATTGAGGAAGATGAAGGACTAATTAAAAGGACTAAAA